TTTTGAAAAAGTGGCATTTTTGTAAAGATTTCAAAAGTGTGGCATTTTTGTAAAGTGGCATTTTTTGAAATTTCTCATGAATTTACATGGGTTTGGACCCAAAATTTTCTCAAAATCTAATTTTGTATCTAATCCGCCACAATGCATTAAAAAAATGCAACACATTTTTTAGTAGAGATGTCAGATGGGCCAGTCCACGTACAAGTAGCCTAATCCATGACGGTCTTAATTTTTTTTTAGCCCGCACGGACTGGTCCGTCGCGGGTTGCGGTTTTGAAACCTATGCCCAAACCCAACCCACTTAAACTAGCGGGTTAGCCGCTAACCCGCGGGTCGTTTGACTTGTTTTTGTGAAAAATCAACATAACATATAAAAACTTTGATTAACCTCCTAGAGCTTTGTTTCTGTTTGATTAACATTACATATGTGTGTATACACAGTTTGAGCTTTGTCGTAGTACAATTATCAATTTGTATTACATATGTTTTTTTGGCTTTGTATGTACGTAAACTTTTATGTTACATATTTATGGTTAGACTCACATCTATTATATATGTTGTATTATAATTGATAACTTGATGATATTTTTTTGTTCTGTTTACAATTGATAAATGGAACAGAAATTGTTGTTTAAATTTGTTTAGTGATATAAGTTATATGTTTTGCATTTATGATTTGCACGTAAAAATATTGGTCGGCATAAATGATATATGGATGAATTTTCCCTTTTGACTTAGTTGCTTCATTCATTTTTAAAAAAATATAGATTGAAACCAAATATATATTCATGATTTAAGCAAAATCTTTTATTAAAAGTTGTCACAAAAACTCAAATTCATAAACAAGACTACATAAAAACACTAAATTTAAAATTATTTAGTCAAAACTAAAAATTTATACGGGACAAATGGGCCAGCCCACGTCCAAGTGGACCACCCCGTGATGAACCAAATTTTTTTCCAACCCGAGACAGGTTTTACGGATTCTAAATGTATGTCCAAATCCGCCCCGTTGCGGTCTTACTTAGATCTAGCCCGCGGATCGCACCCCATGTTGACATCTCTATAATGTCTAGCATGGAATAACGTGTGTTGTGATCATTCAGAAGAGAGAATTGGTTTTCAGAACAACGAGACTTTTAACACTTTGTTACTTGGAAGGCAGCTTTGGCAATTAATAAACTTTACCTTTTCGAAATTCAGAACATTTCTACCCAATTGAATCTACTCTTCGTCTTATAGAAGGAAGAGTAATTTTGAATAGATTTTGGATAAAGATACTTTGAAGACTTGGTTCATGAAGATGTATATCAATGTTGACGATACTATTAAAATAAGTTGAGT